TTCAGAAATTAACTAAAATAAGAGCTCTTTTTCAAAGGAAGGCATCATTACTAACACTTATTTTTTTTCTTTCTTTCCCCTTTTCTTCCCCTCTCCTGCGTCTGGCTTGTGTTAACCTGCTACAGTAACAGTCAGTAAGTACAACTGTTGAACTTTCTATCAAGAATTACCATTGGAATATCTGTAGCTTGTTTAATAATTTTATTATTTTTTTCAACTAAAATTTTGTAGTTATAAAGTAGCATTACTGGGAAATTCTACTTTTTCTTCCTAGTATCATGTGCAAGAAAGTCATTTCTTCCTCAAAAGTACAAGTCCTGGTAAAGAATATATAAATTCCAGATAGGTTTTCCTTGTGCATGGCAGTTTTTAATGCCCAAAATTGTTCATTTTAAGGAAGAATTTTTTTTTTCACATTTCATCAAGTACAATTCTCATGTTCTGTTTTTTGATAAACTCAGAGGTAGTTTAAGGAATGACTAATTTAATGGATTTGTACTTTTTGTTATCTTTCTAATACTTCTTGTTTAGTATGTATTTTTTATTGGTATGACATACATTAAAAGAAATCTCAGAATTCAAATCTCCTAACTACATCTGCTGACACATTTTTCCTTTGTATTTTCAGACTAAGAAGAGAGCACCGTTAGCCAAGGCCGAGTCCTTCTTCAGCAAGGAGCCAAGAGTCGTGAAGGAAGAGTAATTGTTGTCAATAGATTACATAAGCCTCACTTTGTAGGATGAAGTACCAGTGATTGGTAGTTTTATGAAACCCTTTATAGGACTTTTTTTTCAGGCCCATTGTTTGCACTTTTATATGGAGAATGCATTTAAATGGAAGTAGATATGTGATGGGGTTGGACATTCTTTCAACTTGAATAAGGTAGATTATTACAAGATATATCTTTTCCCCCATTTCTTGGTTTTCCATTTTTTTTATTTTTTATTTATTTATATCTTTTTTTTTTTTCCTTTCTTTCATTTCTTCTGGAGGTAGTTGTTATTTTTATAAAGAGAAGTGATGGAGAGATGCTATCTGTTTTTAACTTTGTGAGACAATTTTGCTGTGAGACTTGAATAAAGTCGCAGAAGTGTGCAAACTTCAAAGAGATGAAAAAATATATATATAGATATCAGTAAACAGGCCAAAATACCCAAATTACTTCTGTAAGTAACTGAATTGCCAAATACCTTTTTCTGATTTGCAGTGCCTTGCGGTCTCATGTACTTCTATTACTCATATATACTGTGAACACATCAGAGCTTTTTGTTTTGTTTTTATTGTTTCAGTCACGTTTTTGTTTCTAAAATGAACAAATATTAAATAAAGATTCAATTTATAAATTAAAGGGATTGAAAAGCTTTGGTGGAAGCTCGGTACCTGTGTATATATTATTAGTTGGAAGAAAATAAAGTATTGATTATGTTTAACACTAATAGTAAGAAAAGCAATGATATTTTCTATCATTTAAAACATTGGTATTCATGTATTGGAGTAAGATTTTTGAACAAACGAATAACAGTAGCTGTTAATTTGGAGCTGGGCATTTTTTCCTGAATTAAGATATATGTATATATATATATACACACACATTCCTCTATACAAAAATATATATTGTATGTATGTGTTTATGTATGTAGACATACAAATTACGTATGTACATGATGGTGTGTGTATATGTATATATATGTACACACAGAGATGTGTATGAAAATAGACATAGTTTTAGGGTAACATACTAATGAACTAATTTATCAGTCCTAAAGAAAATTCCAGAGTAAATAGATACAAAAAGAAACATACAGTCAAGCCTATAAGAATTCCTATTTAGGTTCTGCCTTTTTTCCATTTCTGATTGGCAGCTGTTTGCTTTACTCAGATGGAGATTGTTCATTGTAAGGATGCAATACATCGGCCCATTCCATTTCGAATGAGGTGAGAGGGAAGGGAGAAGGAATGTTGCATTAAAGTAAAACCTGTTTGGATGTGATATGATTATGTGACTGTGGAGATGACTGCTTAGTCCCCACTCTCACTGTGTCTGGCAGGCTCTTTCATTATTTAAGTTGATTTTCTGATGTTTTATGGTTTTGCCGTTGGAAGCTGGGAAACGGCTTTGCCTGTCACCCGTTCGATAGAGGTTAAGAGAACATGGATATTTATTTAATTGTTAAGGATAATTATTTAGTATTCATAGTAGTTATTGTTGAAATGTAGTTCCACCCTATATTTTGTGAGATAATTTGTACAAAATATTTTCAATTTTGTAAGAAGAAATGTGTGGCTTATAGTGTTAATGATACATGGTAGATAAATGGCTTCTGATATTGCTAAAGTTACTAATGATGTATTTGGGTGATGGAAAGCTGTACTTTCTTGGAACATTATGGAGTGTGTAAACACCTAATAAACCCTTTCACTGTAGTGTATTTTATCATAGGTTATCTTCATTTAAGTTTTGGATGTTTGGTGAAATTGAGAAAGAGTTATCCAGAAACTCGTGGGTGACATTGATATTGTAGATGATTTCTTATATTAGAAAATACTAACCCATCCCAGGTTTAACTCATTTGCTGAGGTTTGTCTAAAAGTTAACATCACATCATCTTGTATTTTGGAAGGGAAATCTACAGTGGAAGGACTCAGCAGAATATTTTACTTAAGGATTTGTACTGTCAGTTTGAAGAGTCTGGCTCGAGTTCGTAAATGATTCAAACGTTATTTTGGCACCACAGAGTGAACAGGATATATGAATCTTTTTTTCTTCTTTTTTTAATATGACTTAGATGGAGGAAAAATTAATCACCATTTTTGTTAATCTTCTAGCCCAATTTGTTTAGGAAAACTGCTCAAAAGGTTCTATATGTATAGATATAAACGAATAGAAATATATATGTATATGTATACTAAGAGTGATAGCCAGAATATGATTCTACGTTTTATTCCAATTGTTCGGAGTGGCAAAACTGATCTTAAGAATAAATAAACAAATGACTAGAATAAAGTTTAAGAGGTTCATCTCCTGTGACCGTGGATGACAAGTAGAGAATATTGCTCTCTGCATTCGGTGTTGCCTTGAGGAGGAGAAATACATCTTAGCATATGGTTAACACTGCCCCAGTTCTTTGTTTGTGTGTTACAGAACTGACTACATTCCATGAATTCATTACTAGCATCACAGGGTCACTTTTATTCCCTGTTTTCTTTCTTCTTCTTTTTTTTTTTAATTATTATTAATATTTTTTAGAGCTTTCATTACGAGTTTGTTCATATTTTGTGTGTTTGTCTTCAAAGGGAGGGAGGGAGGCATGTTCAGCTCAAGTATTTGAGGTGAAAGATGTCGTGATATTCTTAATGATGTAAAAAAAAGAAAAATACTATGTTAAATTCATCATTCATTTTGAAGTTATTGAATTGATTATTGTTTGGTATATAGTTGCTATCTTTTCTGTAGCTGTGTAATGATTTATTTTCTTTCTTTTGTTTTTCTTATTTTTTCAAAGAGAAATATTTATGCCAGATAATGTTAATCTTTGTTGTGGTAGCTTCCTTGTCTTTTATGTGTTTGTTGTTTTTTTCACTCTTTTTCTGTGAGTATCAAGTGTGTGAAATGTTGAACATATTTGTGTGAACTTCCTTTCAGTAAAAGATGATAATTGTGATTAATTCACATAAACTGCAGATTTGGAATTGACATTTTGCTTTAGTTCTTGAAGGAAACCAGTGAAAGTGATAGTCTATTTATGTATAGTTTATATTGAAATACAGGATAGTTTGCAGTGAGGTTCTTTTATAAACACTTAAGAGAACAATTCAGTTTTTCTTGAGATGTAAATTGATAATGTTTCTCATGTTCATTATATATGAGTTGCATCATTTACCTTTTTTTTCCATTTTTCCTTCTCGGTCTTAAAATGCTGTCTCTGTATTTTGAAGCTGTTAATTTTCTAAACTGTCGCTATTTTGGATCTCAAATAAGTTGTGTATCAGTGGCCTCTTGTAGTGCTCGAGTAGATAGTTACTGCCTTCCATTTCTACCAGGTCAATAAATTTACTGTCTGTTTGTTTGCCCTTGTTATTTATTACTACCTTTTATTCTGAAAAAAAAAAAAAAAAAAAAAAAAAAAATGCACAGAGTGAGAATAATAGACATAGTATATTATTGATTAAATTGTTTACAGTCATATTTAAATTGAGAATAGCACATATCATTTTGTATTTAACTCACTGCTGCTGGGTATATGAGAAAATATATGAAAACTTCAAGGTTCCTTATAATACTTGAGGTAGTTGCACAAGTTATAAGAACTCAGTGTAATTATCTGATCTCGTATAATATGAAAGTGAACATTTTGAGATCTTTCAGGATAAACCAAAAATCACCACTAAATATTTTTCATAACTAAACAAGCATTATAGAGAAGTATTAGATATAAATACTTCCCAAAAATTATTTGTATTGGAAAGAATTACTGCTTTATGCAAATCAACCTCCTAATCCCTTGCCTGTTGTTGCCATGGGGACTTAGGAGACAGAGACTGGGAACCAATGCTGAGGATCGCCCCTACCTCAGGCCTCAGCCTTTGACTTGACTAATTCTTTTATTCTTCTCATTCCATTTCCTTCTCTTCTCCAACCCATTCTTCTATTTACTTCCTCAGGTGTGAGAGTCATATGGAAAGAATGAAAGGCTGACTTTATGCCAGTTATAAACAGCCTGGGGTCATGTTATTTCCCTGTTTAGTGGTCTAGCTCTTACTCCTCATTGGGACCCTGAGGGGTGGACTGTTACTCTCCCCAACATACTCCAGGCTTACTATGGCCAGTAATGAAGACATTCAAAACTATCTAATCTTGACCAAAGATAACATACCTACACATCCATCATCCAGTCTCTCTTCTATTCCTTGTACCTCAAAGTAACTGCAGATATCTATCCTCATGTTCCTCCTACACCCTTTTCCCCCACTCTCCCAATATTCCAAATTACCCCCTGCT